GAGAGACGAGAGAGAGACGAGAGAGAGACGAGAGAGAGAGACGAGAGAGAGACGAGAGAGAGACGAGAGAGAGACGAGAGAGAGACGAGAGAGAGACGAGAGAGAGACAGAGAAGAGAGAGAGGAGAGAGACAGACAGCCCCTGCCAGGGCTGAGGGATCAGGTGGCGCTGCACGAGGCGTTGCACGGCAGCTTGCCCGCCTCGGCCATCTCCAAGGCAGCAGCCCTGGTGCCAGTTCTAGGCCGGAGCTCTTGTGCCAGCAAGCCCTGCACAAGGCTGCCGCGATCTGATAACAATGGTCGGAACTGGCACATGGCTCAGGAAAGTGCGGCGGAGATCCGATCCAGAAGGACAGCAACAAGCCAGGCCTCACAAGCTAGAAGGGACGAGGGTAGGCTGGCTCAGGCAAGACTAGGTGTATGAGCTCTGCACGGCCCAGGACTTTCGCCCTCTTCGACGGAGCATCATGAGGTGAAGGAGCGGACGAACATGATACAGAACCTGCAAGTTGCAGAGAAAAAGAATGGACCTGGAGAGAAGCTAAGAGCAGCCTCAGCTAAGGCGATCTGAGTGGTGTGGGGGCTACGGTCCTGCTGCGGATGAGAGGCACGTCTAGTATGAGATGCCCAGCATTTGATGACGTCATTGGATGCCAAGTGCCACTCCTGCCGCAAGCCAGCCGCAACTCCTGAGAAAGAACACTTTGTGCTCTGGCGTGGTGAGGCCCCTGCTGAGTCGGGAACAGCGCATTGAAAGCGCCACTTGCAATGCCGAATTACACTGGCCCCAACTATGATACCCAGCCAGTGACGAAAAGCCCATACAAGCCATTATCCTGAGCCACTGGCGCGGCGGCGCCACCGCTGCTTCTGGCGGCGAATCGGACTCGGCAGCCTGCCGCACCGCTGCCGCCACAATGTCAAGCGCTGGGGGCCCCCAGGAAGAGATTCAAAGAGATTGGCCTCTAAGGCCTTCAACGAGCGGCCTGTTCGCCTTTTGCTTGCAAACTAGAAGCTCGTTCAAATGTTCTAAGCGGAAGGGCCGGGAATTGCGTGTGTCGATGCTGCACGTGGCTCACGTCGTCTGAGCAGAATCCCTAAGGCCAGGACCGCCCAACATAGGCTGTCTGTGCAGTTGCATCAGGCACACCTGACCACAAACACGGACACACATTTATCAGCGTGCCACCCGGTGCGGCAAGCATCTGGGCCCATGACGGGATGCCTCTGATGTTGTGGTCCTCGAGGTAGACCGTATCAATGAGTCAATAAGCGATGATACATTGGCAGCCCCAGCCCCGCCCCAGCCCACCCCAGCCCCACCCCCAGCCCAAGCCCCACAGTCATCGGAACAGTTTGACGGGTTCCAACAAGTTCCGACGGGTTCCGACGGCTTCCGACGGGTTCCGACGGGCTCGGTTTTGCGAGGTTTCCGGTGGGGGATGGGGGCAGGGGAGGGTGAGGTTGTCCATTGTGCAGACCCCCAGCGATTCGCGCACCAGCTCCCGCACCAAGGTTGCACACCGGTTTGTGGGCCCCATCGGTTCGCGCACCAGCTCCCGCACCAGCTTAGCGCACCATTTTTTGGGCCCCATCGGTTCGCGCACCAGCCCGCGCACCAGCCCACGCGCCAGCCCACGCACCAGCCCCCGCACCAGCACTGCGCACCTGAATCTGAGAGAGTTATGAGTTCCAGGGCCCCGCCAAATGATAAATAATCATGCTGCATGAAATCATGCTTCACGCGCTTGCTGCCCAAGCTGCTGCTCGTCCCGCTTCCCAAGCAGAGCAGCATTTCGCTGCTCCCTGAAACGAGCTTGTCATAGAAGGCACAATTCCAGATTGGGAACGCCAAGCTCCAAGCAATAGCTTCGGAGGTTCCGCATCTTCGATCGCAACCTGAACTCAAAGTCACCTTCTGGATTTCACTGCGCATCCGGTCCCGCACCTCATCTACATAGAAGTTGAACGGCATTCGAAACCTGAGGAATGCCTTCAATACCTCAGAGAAGCAGACGCGCACACCCGGGAAGCAGCGAAACCATCCACACAACGCCCCTGGCAAGACTGGGCACAGGGCCAACTTCACAATCTCTACTCTGAGGCAGACCTGCAGCGCGTGCTTGGAGCCTCGGTGGCAAGGCGGTCGTGCAAAATATCCCCCAACGCCTTGCGTTAAAATTAATACTAAACTAGAACAAAAATCGAATGAATACAAAAGCAAATAGGCTTAGAAGGAAATACGATTATATGTCTCCTTCAAATACCTCTGTTCTCTTATTCCCCACGCTCGGTGTGGGGTTGTTTGGTTTTAAACTCAACTCTTCTCCTCGCCCGGAACTCTTCTCCTCGCCCGGAACTCTTCTCCTCGCTCATCCCTTCATCCCTGGAGTGCCCAACCCCAAAGTGTCCCTGAAGTGCCCAACCCTAGAGTGTCCTGGTTAAATCCAGAGTCTCCTGCAGTGCCCAACCCCAGAGTTTCCCAGTCTCCCTGGAGTGCCCAAGCCCAGAGTGTCCCCGGAGTGCCCAGCTCCGGAGTCTCCCTGGAGTGCCCAACCTTAGAGTCTCCCTGAAGTGCTCAGAGTGTCCCCGGAGTGCCCAGCCCAAAGTCTCCCACACTGCTCAACCCCAGAGTCTCCCTGGAGTCCAACCCTAGAGTGTTCCTGGTTAAATCCAGAGTCTCCCTGCAGTGCCCAACCCCAGAGTTTCCCAGTCTCCCTGGAGTGCCCAAGCCCAGAGTGTCCCCGGAGTGCCCAGCTCCGGAGTCTCCCTGGAGTGCCCAACCTTAGAGTCTCCCTGAAGTGCTCAGAGTGTCCCCGGAGTGCCCAGCCCAAAGTCTCCCACACTGCTCAACCCCAGAGTCTCCCTGGAGTGCCCAACCACAGAGTGTCCCAGTGTCCCCAGAGTCTCCCTGGAGTGCCCAACCCCAAAATGTCCCCGGAGTGCCCAGCCCCAGAGTATTTCTACCAAGAGAGGGTGGGGACGTTCGAAGTAAAATAATTTGTATTAGAATACTTCAAGAGCGAGTGAAGTGATGCCCGCACGAAAGGAGCCAAATCATATTGCAAGGGGTGTTGCACGGTCGTTTCTTTCCAACCTTTTATTGGAATCATTTTTAATGGCTTTGGAAGCCCTGTTGTGCTTTCCTCCTGGGTAGTTCTTTCAATCACACTGTCCTTGTTCTGCAGGCAGGCCCAAAACCAGCTGAGTTTCCGACCACTTCTCCGGAATGCATCCATTTCAATTAGCACCTGGCCGGCTGCATCTGGCATCTGCGCCATACTTGATCATTCGTTGTGATGCGGCACTTGGCATCCGGATACTCAGCCAAAGCTTACCTGGATGGATCGAAGAGCTCGTAGAGCGAAAGCTGCAAGCATGTACGAAAGACCTGCCACATATGTACTGCCTTCGCAATGACTTTCAGTGGACGCGGGTTCGGGACTGCTGCTCTCTGCATTGCACAGATTTGCGAACCCGCTTGCGCCAGTTGCGCCGGCTACCAGATGCTGGAAGTGAGATCACATCATAAGAGGACAGATACATGTCAATGCAGTGTCCATCCTCCTCAAGCTGTGAGACCCATGCATAGAGTTTGCCCCCATTTAAGCATGGATGACTTAGCACTCGTACACACTGATAGCGATTCTTGACAGAATCACGAACTCCGCTAGTAGTGATACACTGCCTAGAGCAAGCTGCTCTTTGTAGCCGGACGAAGATTGAAGATTCTTGGAAATCAACAGGCGGAATCTTCAATCCCGCTTCACGATTAAAACCCCCCTCCCCCCTCCCGACTTTGGTTAGCCTCCAAAGCATAGCGCACAGCATACACCAGAGCCCGGACCACAACACGCTAGAAATCAGTAGAACATGCTCCGAGCATTCAACAACTCGAGCTTCCTTTCCTAAATTGCCCGAGGCCACAGGCAAGAATGCTCTTGCTGTTGCCGCTGCAGTTTCTGCGCTGTTGAAGAGATGTGAAGGTTGTGAAGCCTCTGTGGTCTTAAAGTCTTAAAGTGAGGTGAAGGAGCCATGGCATATGTCTGTACCTGGCAGGTGCCTACGGGAAGAGCTGGATCTTCTTGTTGACTTCATGGGCAACTTGATGAGATCGGCACACAGGAACGTCACAGACTAAAACGCGCCGGGGAAGCGTGCACGGCGAAGCTCCTTGGAGGGAGGTCGCATCACCTGCACACCTGCGCAGCGAAGCTGCGAACGAAGCAAAGGATGGCCGCTGCCCGTGTGTGTCTCCGTGCGTACTGTGTGGGGGGGGTTTCCGAAAGTAGGGGGTACCTGAATGGGGTCCTTATTACAAGGGAATCCTACTATTTGGGGTCTATAGGGGGTCCCTTATTTTCGTAAACCCCCACATCTGTGCGGGGGAACTATGTGAGGATTTGATGGACTTGACGCACGCTGGCCTGCGTCTGGATAGTCACACACCGGAATCCTGTGGGAACAGAAATGTGACTCGAAGCAGCTGAGTCAGCATACGAGGTGTTGCCCGAAACCTCTCTTCTGAGGTCTGAAGTTGAGCCAAGTGAGCCAAGTGCCGGACTCCTCCGGGCTGCGAAGCACCACTGTTCGATACCTCGCTTCAATCTCATAGGCTGCACTGCTGAACGTCCAGCAGTTTCACTCTCCTGCGCATCTATGCCAGAATCTCTGCTTTGCCGGGTGCAGGACAAATTAAAAAGGTCGCTGAGGGAGTACACAGCCTGCGAGTCGTTGCACGCACTTGTCCGCAGAAACGGACCCCCACGTTTCTGAAACACGTGCTACCTCTTGACTCGAGCGTATGTTCCAAAACTGCACCGTGCTACTTTGCCATCAAGGGAATTTGCGGGCCAAGTACAATTACGCCGCTGACAGGCAGGAAAACAGGCATGCCAACTCAAAGAAAACGACAAGAGGTTTGTCGTAGCAAGGACGCGATTCTTTCCGCCTGGCTCCAAAATCCTGCTTTGTCGTCGTCGTCTTCCTCGCCAACAAAACGGAAGTGGAACAAGTCAACAAGTGCTTTGCGACTTTGTAGAGCCTGGCCTGCACGGGGACCAGCACGACGCACATCTGCAGCATCTGCTCAAGCCTTAGACGTGCCCCATATGCCAATAGACCAGAAGCGCACGACAGCACTGGACAGCACAATCGCCACAGTCACGGAGCAGAAAGCCTCAAAGCCTTAGGCAATCCTTCAACCACGCCTTCCCAACCTCCAGAAGTTCAGCCTGGAAGCTGCTCGCCCCACTTGTCCATGAAGACGCGCTGCGCTGTTAGAGCAGCCTGACTTCCCGAATGGGAGGAGCCACGTGGCTCACGCAAGGTCCGGTATTCTAGAGGACTGAGCGCTGCTTTTTGGTCAAAGAACTGGTTGTGTCACTGTGTGAGAGGAAGGCCACATGCCCTTGCAGGAGCCCAACACTCCAGCCCTTGACAGCTACACCTGCTTCTAGCCGAAGAGAACAAAATAAGAGCACACGCTTCCGGCTTGGCCCAGCGAAGCGTCATTTAGTTCACACGTACAGCTCGTGAGAGATGCACGACACGTCATGCCACATGTACATTGACTTGCTGCTTCTGATTCGGCAAATAGAAGGGTGCCAGCACTCCTGCAGCCCGAGTCCACACCATCTTGCCAGGCGTATAGGTGGTCTGAGACCCTTCTTCTGAAGTGTAGGGCCTGCCATCCAAATCTTGGAAAGTCCAATTCTTGATGGTGATGCTGTTGTCTGTAGGATAGCTACCTCCAAAGCTGGTATAAAACACAAACATCGACGTGTCAATACAAGACTCCCCACTTTCTGGCTGCAAGATTGGGTGCTGCGGCGCTGGAGCTCTACAAGTGATGCTGTCAAAGACCACCGACTTGAGACCATATGTAGCCACGCAGTTTCCATACCAGTTGGGCCGCATGATTCCTGGATTAACTGCAATGCAGTTCCGGAAAGTGACATTCGCAGGGTTCGCATCACCACCCCAGAGCACATACATGTCATCACCGGTGTTCTCGAAATACACGAACTCGACAACCGCATCTCGCACACGACCGTGTAGATTGATCGCATCAGCCTGCGCACTTCTTGAGATCAAATTTCTGACGAGGATGTTGCGTGTTCCTTCTTGATCCCGAGTCTGTGGAACCCATACACCCACTTGAGTCGAACGCACATCATTGGGCTTGCAGAAACAGCACTCCTGCATCCACTTGTCCGTCTTACAGTCGTAGTTTCCAGGTATGGAAGCCCCTACCTTGGTCCGGTCTTCGGGAAAGAAGAAATCATTCAGGCGCACGTTCTCAATCGTGACATTGAAGGACCCCAAGCCATCTGAGCCACCGTTGTTCACATCAGACGCGGCGCAGCTGTTTTCTGCGCAGCCTTTAGTTTCGAAGGCACCGCCACCGCAAAGAGCTCCATTGTCGTTGGGTCGAATCGTGTCAATGCCCTGATAGCTCACATTACGCACAGTTACAAAGCTGCTGAGTACAAAGCCCACCCGAGTTGTGACCATGTCCGCGGCATGACAGTAGACCATGCTGTACTGTGTCACGCCCCGTGTCGCAAGAAAGAGAGTCTGCTCCTCCCAGTTTGGTGATCGGGTTGGCTCTGACCAGTTGTTGGGATCTTGCGCGCCTATGAGGGATGTCCTCTCAGGAACCAAGAGCTGCTCGTGAATTTCAAATATTCCAGGCGGAAACCGGAATTGCTTTTGGCCTCCCTCCAGGTTGCACGTAATCGTCGCAGTGGTCCTGGGAGCTGAACTCGAGTGTATCTCAAAATCGTGGCAATTACCCGCTCGGATCGACGGTGCCCAGGCATCGAACGGAAAGATCTGGCAGTGAGCACAAGGCCCAAGGACACTGTCCGTCTGGTATCTCGATACATGCAGCAGGACAGACGCATCCTCTACAGCAAATGCAGGAAGAATGAACACCATGCAGAGCCCCTGGAAGAGGCCATGATTCTGCATGACAGGTGCATCAATACACAAGTACAAAAGCTGGAGCCAAACTCCACAAAACATTTAGTCAGAGCAGACCTAGCTGACCTGCAAACGGGACATGCTCTGCCAATACGGTACATGCTCTGCCGATGACCATTCAACGGATTCCCATGGCCTCAATCCGGGTTTGAGTGCAAGAGGCAGCCATTGTGTGAACTTCAGATGACGAGACTTCTCTCAGTGTGCGTACGATTTTGCAAGTTTTACGACTCGTTAAGAGGTTACAGAGCGAAATGCCTCAGACTTTCTAACTGTGCTGTCCAGGTCCGAAGCTTCAAGCTGTGTGGATGCGAGCTCTGAACTTAACAATTCACCCAATGATCGCGGCACAAAGCAGATACGGATGCGCGACATGGTCAGATCTGGTGGCACGACTGCCACAACATGATGGCGTCGGCGGCAGCAGCAGCAGCAGCTGCTGCTATTTTTCTCCCAATTTCCGCGGCCAGGTCTTTGGACCACCATAGCTGGGCAATGTGCGTGTACAGGCAGACACTGCCAGAATTGCTTCATGATCATTACATGCAAACCGTTGCAGCCGCAAAGGGATTGGGCACATGTCGAACAGGACGAGCTGCTTATTCTGACAGTCTGCCAACTTGTGAAACAAACCCACCACAACTCAGAGGACAAGCAGTGAACAAACGCGGATCTTATGACACAAGGGGCTCTATCACTCGCTTCTCGGCGGCTGCGTAGGTTTGACACGTTCCTGACACGGAGGCTTTGCACGCTGAAGCCTCTGCTCAGTCGAACCCTTGACCTGAACAGGTCTGAGCACGCCTGGATCGCCTGGTCGGCCCAGGACTCGCGACATCAGATCGCGCACGGTGCGGTCGTACTCCTCTGCATGGCCAGCGCTTCTGCAGATTTCACCACATCTATTCAGCGTTCGCGTGGAGGTCGCAACCGTGTCACTACTCTGGCAGACGCATGTGCTATTTGCTGCAGTGGTGCACACTTCTTTTGCTGTGGCAATGTTTCGCTGCATTTTTCGCTATGACAGAGTCAGGGATGCATTGTGGAGGCGGTATGAGGCGGTGTGGTTGTGTTTGCTGTGAAGGCGAGGCGCAAAGCCTTTCTGCTGCTCAGGCGGGCCGCAGTTTTGGTGTGGCGCCTATTTTGCGGTGATGGGGAGCCTTTTTTTGGGGAGGGGCGCTGGTGGCTTCGGCTCTGCTGCAGCATTCAGGCTTGGTTTACCTCTTGTGATCTTTTGCCAGGCGGAGTTGGGGGAGGTTGCGGGATGTTGGGAGTTTTTGGGCTATTTGGGATGTTGAGGATGTTCGGGGGCTGGCCACTCACTCACCGGCTCGCTGTGCGTTATGTGCATGTCGCCGAAGCACTTGCTTTTTGGCTGCGGAGGCGGAGAACTTTCTTAGCATTATGGCAGCAATGTGGTGCCATGGTAGTTTCGCGGGGCGCGTCTTCTTTTTGCTGTGGAAGCCGAAGCGCTGGTGTTGTGTGGGGGCGCTGGTTTGCTTTTTTTGTTGTTGCAGCGTTGCCACGGCAGAGGGGCACGTGCTGCTCTTGGAGACGGAGCATCCTTTCTATTCTGTGGGGCCTCGTTCAGTGAGAACATCGAGCAAAACTAGAAAATGGGGATGGATTTCCGAGGCTTCCGAGTGTGACGACCATGTGGCCGCAGAGAAACGCAAGCTACGCTAAACCATCTTTCCATGACAGGTACGCAGTTCTGCAAACCTTGTGCAACCAGCAAAACACATGCCCTCATAGCCCTGTGCTGAACTTGCGCTCCTCAATGCCGCTTCGGAGCCCCTGTTGCCGTACACGACTTGCTGTTGGTTCCTGCTCAGCGAGACTTGAACGTGTAGATGGCATTGTTCGAACCATAATGACTTGTGTACTGTATTTATGTCGAGAACTACAGCAATGTAGCGGAGTCTACCTCCATATGATGTTGCGCCTGGCTTTCTTTAGGAAAGATCTGAAGAAATTATATTGGTTGTCGAGAAATGGTCAAGCAGCGACTTCTCGGCGGCCACTTCAAGCCTCTCTTCGGCTAAACATGTAGTATGTATGCATGTATGTATGTGTGTGTGTGTGTGCGTGCGTGCGTGCGTGCGTTCGTGCGTGCGTGCGTGTGTTGCTTGTCTTCCTGCTACCTTTGCTTCCCTTGCACTTCTGCCAACAAGCGCGCATGCAAAACCATTCCCAGTCGTTCCCATGGAGAAAATGTTAGTTTTCAAGCTGGCGCATGGAGCAAAACAGTCTGGATGCTGCATCCCGCCGCGTCCTGGGCCAAAGGTTCCAGACGCCCGGGGGATCGTAAACCTGCACCGCAAACTTCGGATGGAGGTGGTCACAGATGGGCACACCATGGGACACCTTCGCGAAGTTGGCCAGAGGCTGCTCGGCCACAGTGGTGACAGAAGAGAGCATCTGGCGCCTGGCTCGCTCACATGCTTGCTCCCAACTCTGGTACAGTAGGCCCTCTTTTGCTTCGTGGCGGCACGGGCTTTGCAGTCCAAAGCATAACCAGCCAAGGCACGAGGGTATTCCCGCAGGCACACGTCAGTGTACTCACAGGTGCTCCGGCCTGCAAGTCCAGAAGCTGCATACACCACGCTGCACCCCTCCAGAAAATCCAAGCGCGGGAAGCCTCGACACTTTGATCAGCACGCTGTGCCAGGGCTTCACCGGCCAACGCTGCCATCACAAGCGATCCTTTTGCTTTAGCTCTTGCTTTGCTCCAACAGATCATGCTCGCAGCTGAGACATTCTGACACGTGCTGAGACCAGATGGGCAGAGGGGAGTGGTCCTCTAGGCCGAGAGCCGACCTGCCCTGCCAGAACAGTAGAATCGCGAGCATCGGCAGGTGGCGATGCTTCAATTCTTGAGGGCATCGTGTATCGTGTAAAGTGGCGCTAGCTTGCCCCCGCCTGGTGAAGAGCGCCTGGCATCGTCTGGCCTCAAAGTGACGCTGGATCTGAGGCGAAGACTGCATATGCTTCATGCAAGAACGTGTCTACGCATCAAGTCGTAATGCGATGCCGGGAAGCTGGATTGGCTCATCGGCTGAGCGACAGGCCAGAACAGCTCCGACCTGTCAGAGTAACAAAAAGTCAGCTGTCAAAACGCCCGCCTGATCCCTGCTGGCCTCGCTCTGCTGCCATTGCGCCAGCGCGCGCAGGCTTTCAAGTTCGCGCCGTAGCTTCCGATTCTCCAGAGACTGGGCGGCCGCCTGCAGTTGTCGCCACATCGCGCGAAATTGCGAGGCTGAATTTGCGCAATCCTTCGAAGATCAACTCTGCCTGTGCCGCAGCTTCGGCCGAGTCAGCATCTGCCTCCTCCTCGCAATCCAGCACATTGGAGAAGGGGTCCCCACATCGTGCGGAGGCTTTGCATGCTTTGCCATGCCAAGCGAACGAAGAGCTCCCCTCCAGCCCCTTCCTTCGTAACTCATCCGCACTGCATCGAGCTAGCTCCATCGCCTCGTAGTTCTTCGTTTGTCTTATGCCCCCTCTCCCTTCCCGTGTTTCCGATCTTCTTCCCCATTCCCCCCCTCTCCTTCTCCTTCCACCACTCTGCAAACTTCCCCCTACCTTGGCTACCCCGCTCCTACATTGTTTGCGGCTGCAACCTAGCCTCTTTTGCTGAGATTCCGCTGAGAACTAAAGCCTGCCCCCAACCCAACTGTCCCCCTGCGCTTGCCGCTTCCTAAAATTTCCTAAGCCCACCTTCAGGAGGCGGGGTCGTAACCGCAATAAGGACCCATTTTTTTTAACCACAACAAGGAATCACTTAACCATGATAAGGATTTGTGCCTCAGTGCATGATAGCCACATTCCCCCCCCCCGACCACATGGGAGTGACAAAAAGCCCTCAGAATTGAGATTTTAAGCCTCCCAAAGCTCCAAAACCAGGTTCTTTCTGTCACTGCGGGTGCCCCCCCTCCCCCCCTTTCTGTCACTGCGGATGCCCCCCCCCCCACATAGGAATATACACACCTGAAAATTGAGGTTTTGGGCCTCCCAAAGCTCCAAAACCAGGTTGTTTCTGTCACTATGCGGGCGCCCCCCCCCCCCCCCCCCCATGAAAATTCTGTCTCTGCGCCCAGACCCACATAAGAGTGACAAAAAGCCCTCAGAATTGAGATTTTAAGCCTCCCAAACCTCCAAAACCAGGTTCTTTCTGTCACTGCGGGTGCCCCCCCCCCCCCACAGAGACCCACATGGGAGTGACAAAAAACCTGAGAATTGAGGTTTTGGGCCTCCCAAAACTCCAAAACCAGGTTCTTTCTGTCACTGCGGGTGCCCCCCCCCCCCCCCCGAGACCCACATGGGAGTGACAAAGCCCTCAGAATTGAGATTTTAAGCCTCCCAAAGCTCCTTCTGTCACTGCGGGTGCCAACCCCCCCCCCCCCCCAGACCCACACGGGAGTGACAAAAAAACCTGAGAATTGAGGTTTTGGGCCTCCCAAACCTCCAAAACCAGGTTCTTTCTGTCACTGCGGGTGCTGACAGAAAGAACCTGGTTTTGGAGGCCCAAAACCTCAATTCTGAGGTTTTTTTGTCACTCCCATGTGGGTCTGTGGGGGGGGGGGGGGGGGGGGGGACCCGCAAAGGAGAAAGAACCTGGTTTTGGAGGTTTGGGAGGCTTAAAATCTCAATTCTGAGGGCTTTTGTCAATCTATGTGGGTCTGGCGCAGTGACAGAATTTTCCATGGGGGTGGGGGGGGGGGGGGGGGGTCCGCAGTGACAGAATTGGAGCTTTGGAGGCCCAAAACCTCAATTTTCAGGTGGTTTTATTCCTATGTAAAGGGGGGGGCATCCGCAGTGACAGAAAGGGGGGGGGGCACCCGCAGTGACACGGTTTTGGAGCTTTGGGAGGCTTAAAATCTCAAGTCTGAGGGCTTTTTGTCACTGCCATGTCGGGGAGGGGGGGAGGGCGCCCGCAGTGACAGATTCAGTGGGTTGGGGGGGGCCCAAAACCGACAAAGCCCTCAGAATTGAGATTTTAAGCCTCCCAAAGCTCCTTCTGTCACTGCGGGTGCCAACCCCCCCCCCCCCCCCCCAGACCCACAGGAGAGTGACAAAAAACCTGAGAATTGAGGTTTTGGGCCTCCCAAAACTCCAAAACCAGGTTCTTTCTGTCACTGCGGGTGCCCCCCCCCCCCCCCGAGACCCACATGGGAGTGACAAAGCCCTCAGAATTGAGATTTTAAATTGAAGCTCTTGGCCTCATTTGGGACTGAATTGAAGCTCTTGGCCTCATTTGGGACTGAATTGAAGCTCTTGGCCTCATTTGGGACTGAATTGAAGCTCTTGGCCTCATTTGGGACTGAATTGAAGCTCTTGGCCTCATTTGGGACTGAATTGAAGCTCTTGGCCTCATTTGGGACTGATTTGGGACTGAATTGAAGCTCTTGGCCTCATTTGGGACTGAATTGGGACTGAATTGAAGCTCTTGGCCTCATTTGGGACTGAATTGGGACTGAATTGAAGCTCTTGTGCCTCACTCGAAGCTCTATCGCTCTATCGTGCCAACCCTAAACCACTATCATTGTTAAAGAAACCCTTGTCATTGTAAAAACGTTTTTGTCATGGTTAGAACCCCTACTCCACCTTCAGCTGATGAGCAGCCAGTTACCGATAGCTGCTGTTGGGACTTCACAGATCCTAACAGATTCGAACGAGAGAGGGAGAGAGAGAGAGAGAGAGACGAGAGAAGAGAGAGAGGGAGAGAAAGAGAGAGAAAGAGAGCGAGAGATGAGAGAGAGAGCGAGCTAGAGAAAGCAAAAGAGAGAGAGATAGAATCAAAGGATAGGTAGAGATAGAGATAGAGATACAGATAGAGATGGAGATGGAGATGGAGATGGTGGAGATGGAGATGGGGATGGGGATGGAGATGGAGATGGAGATGGGGATGGAGATGGAGATGGAGATGGACGATCCCCACTGCTAGACCCCATTTTGTTGTGCGTGGGGATTGGTCCTGTTAGGGTGAAGAAATGAATCTGACTGCTTACGGTCCAAGTCCTCGGGCTCCAACCGATCTGAACTAGCACTCGGCGGCGAGGTCATCTCCTGCAACAAGACTTCGCAATCGAACTAAGCACTTGAAGATCAGAAGGACCACACACCGAGGAGGCCCCGATATTCTAGTAAGACCTTCTGGCCCATGTGGTCAAAGTCCAATATTATAAGGGTGGCAGTGGGCAGCCAACATGAATTCATTCGCCTCGGCTTCCTGCCGAAGCAGACCCGGCCCCCTAACCCAACCCTTCCCCCCATCACCCCCCCCCCCCCCCCCCGCCCTGTGGGACCCCCCCCAATCGCTTGGAGGAGCTGCAAACCGATGCTGTGGAGGGTCCCGCCTGTCGGTGGCTCCTAGAGGGGGAGTGCCTCAGCACACCTCCCCCCCCCCCCCCCCCCCCCCCCCCCCCCCCCCCCCCCCCCCCCCCCCCCCCCCCCGAGGCGGTGTGCACAAGCGTTTACAATTATCTTTCACCAGTCTTCACCAAGGGCCAACACTACCAGAATCGGCCAGTCATTCACGTTCCCCCGAACCATCGCATTTTTTTTATGTGGTTGATTCGTGCTCACGTAAACAGATCACCTCTGTTGCCTGAGCTTTGATTTCCAGATCAAAGCTCAGGCAAACGTGTTGTGCAGGAATGTGCGGGGGGGCAAATCCCAGAATTTGGGAGGAATCCTTGGGAAGGACCGCTTCGAAGGTGGAAGGCTTGTTGGAAGGGGCGAATTTTAAGTTTGATTCTTGCAACCGGTGGCGACACAACAATTTGAACTATTTCGAAACAGTTTTCAACAATGCATGACTCGTCCCTTCTCGGTCATTGTGGCCCGTTGGGCCCGTTGTGCAGCCCGTGGACCTGTAGTTCTGAAATATAGACGCCCCTGGAACCTAGTGCTTCAGCCTGTGGACAAAAAATATGTAGGTTAAGGCGTTCACTGACCTGCCCTGAGACCCAAACCTTGGTAAAGACCGTATTCGAAGGACTCCCCTGGACTAACATGAGCCGAGGTCCAAAACCCTTTATCTTTCAGACAATGAGTGAGTGTATCCCAAGACGAACAAAGGATGCTTCTTGACCAGCCGCACAATGCTGCAGAATCGAAGGCTTACACCTATATATTCATATGCAGAAGATATCTAATTTGCCTCTGTCGTTTACCGTCTGCTTTAAGTCTTCAAACAAAGCCCTCAACCTCAAGCCCTAAACCCTAAACCCTAAACCCTAAACCCCAAACCCTACACCCTAAACCGCAAACTGGTAGTGGGATCCCTAAGCCCTTCACCGGGAGCCTCTGCAAGCACTCCGCCGCTTCCTTTGAACCGCCCCAGCTCTCGCGAGAAGTCCAGCTCCTGGCCTCGAAGCACCTCGGCTCTTGATGCGGTTTAGGGTTTAGAGTTGGAATGCAGAGTCCTGCCTGCTGCTCCAACTTGATGCTCTGAACTTCTCCCCAATTGAATTGGTCGATTGAATGCATCGGACCCTTTTCTCAGCGCCATTGCCGAAAGGTGGAGTATGATACGTCACTGCTATGTGCCTTCAATGAATTCGTACAAAGGGCTCAAGTATGAACAGTCTGTCAAGAGGGACTCTGTGTGATCCACTCGTTGGAAACAACCCAATGGGCCTACTTAGTTCAAATGTCACTGCAAGTTCTCTGAACCTCGAGGCTGAGGTCGCACAAGATGTGCTGCACCTGCCAAGTAGAGCTGTTAAATCTTGACTCGGGCTGTATGTGCTAGAGCTTTGCTCCGCGGTCTGCATTGTCACTTCTCTGAGCTGTTACACGTGTCTTGCACACATGGATTTTGATTTCTTGGGAAATATGCCACACTGCGTCCGCACAGGCAGTACGGATTGCGGATCTGTCGATCGCTCCTTTGTTGAGCGCATCTGCAAGCATATCTCTGGTGTCAACCCAAATTAAGCGACTAATACCCCTACCTAAGAGCTCCCTAAACGCCAAGAGACGCAACATCATTGCTCCGTCGGTACACTTGACATCCTCGGCACAAGCACTTGTCCAAACGCTGAAAGCATCCAGAATAACATCCAGCTGCAAAGCGTGGGTCATGGACTCTTGTTTGAATAGCAGTTGACTGGCACTCATGCAACCTTGCAGCAGCTCAGACATAGCAGAGTTTATCTGCATAGCTGCACCTGCAATATCCAAGGCACTCAAAAGCTCAGCAGCATATGTGCTGCGACACACGCGGCTCTGCTTCTTGGATACAAAATCTAGCAACTGTATGGAATTCGTTCCAGTGAAGGGACCATCACGGTCCACAAGCGCTATCACGCCGGATCGGACTGCAAGGTGTTCTTGGCCCTCTCCTTTGAAGCTACTGTCAGTGACTACCACCAACCTCCAAGGTCTGGGAACCTTCTTATACCTCAGGCATAGGGGTTTTAATTTCAAATACTTTAAGACCCTGTTTAGATTGGCAACATCCTGTACACGTGGTGCCTTTAGCCTTCTTTGTAGCGCGGATACAAACACTGCCACATCAGGTCTAGTTTGCGTGGTCCATGCAACTCCACCTAGGAGGGACATATAAAGTCGTGCAATTTCCGGTGATACTTCTGCTTCAGGCTGCATTACTTTCAAATCGGCATCGGGTATTGGTCTAAGTTCGGCGATATAGTGCTGTTGGCTCAGCACCCGGGTGCCATCTGACTCAAGTGAGTGCTTTAACCCCAAGTGCTCAAAACAGTCATTTTCTACCTTTAGTTGGTCAAATTCCTTTTCTAAACCACGAATTATGGCGGCACGCTCGCTGTCGTTACCTGTGATCTTGAGATCGTCTACATGTATCGATAACAAGGCAAGTAATTTTCCATTTGAATGCTTGGCAAACAGCTGTGCATCGGCTTGCAGAGGACGCAACTCCAGTTGCGCCAACACACGCTTCAAAGCCAACGCCCACAGACGCGGCGCATCCTTGAGTCCGAAGCCTGGCTTGAGTAAATACAAAACCTCACGATCACAGTTGAAGCTTTCGAGGCCGGGGATGGCTTGAATAAGCTCAGCAGAACCTGGCGGCAGGATCAATTGTACATCTCGAAGCACAGCGTCCTCACCATTTTCGAAAAGCTCACGAAATGTAAGGCCCCTTAAAAAGGCTTCGGCAACATCTGCCGATGTCAATCCCCAACCAAATTGCACCGAAGTTATCAGCACCAACCGTTGCCCCCATCTAGACGTTGTACCGGCAAAGTTTTGTACAGCTTGTACATCCTTAAAACCTTGCACGACAAGTCGGGCTTTAATTTCGCGTGTTCCCTCTATCATCTTCCACTTGAGAACCCATTTAGAAGACAACGCATTAGTCGCAGTAGCACGAGGCCCTCTGCGCCACGCGCGATGTGTGTTCCACCGCAGCAATTCTTTTATCATTGCTTTTCTACAGCGCTCCGCGTTTTCCAAGGCTTCTTGTCTAGTCACAATGTTGTTGGCACGCTCAATAACCGGATTCAACGGTGCTTCAAAGTTCATCGACACCGTCTCGTCCTCTTTCACGCTGTCACGAAAACACACCAAATACTTTGCTGCTTGGCTGGTGAACTCTATTTGCAAAGGTTCATCAAGAAGTTCGCTTACGTTGAATATGTAAATGTTTGAACCGACGTTATGACGACACACCTCCGGCGGTCTTGTCAAAAACTGATACCACTCATCCTCATCAGCAGTTGGCTCGAAAGTGTCGGATGACTCAGACGCAGATTGGACTGTGGCATCACCGTGCGACTCACGAGGCGTTCCAATGTCGAACTCCTCAGGCCCAACCTGATCGGTGGCCCTTGCATTTTCAATTGCACGCTGGCGCCGGTTTTGCATTACCGCTGAGGTGATGTCTTGCACTCGTGGAAGCTGCGGATCGCTTATTCCACCGATGTTTGGGATGTCTTGGACATGTTGTCTCAGCGACAACACAGTTTCAGCATCTACAGCAAAGAATTGTACGAATGCCACGTCGTTGCACTTTCGGCCAAGCATGCGTTCAAAGTTTACAGAACAGGACCCAGGAATGTACGCTACTGACCACGCATCCAGATGGCCCTTGTCCCACATGAGCAACAAGGACTCATCACACTCTACACCTGCCAGAGTTGGTACAGAGTTCCCCAACCTGAATGAGATTACCCCGTTAAACTGCAGGTTGCAAGCGGCCATGTGGAGTCCAGCGATGACCTCAACAGGAAGACGAGCATTGTTCTCGAAGCTTCGCCACACTCCTTGCTGTCTGAACCAACCCAACCGTACGACCTGCCTATCTAGTGACTCAGCGGCATGCCGAATCACTCCTACTGGCGTGGATACAGGCTCATGGGTCATCAGCACAGTGTACATTAAGGAGCGGCGCAAGTCTTGCACTCGACACAGCATCGCCTTGCCTTGGAACCTGATGGTGATGTGACCTTGTGTCAGTGTGCTCACATCAACGACCGTGGCTGGACCTAACCATCCGCTATGGTCCTTTGTGGCAGGTTGCCTCCAAAAATCTACCTGTTCACCGACAGACAGTTCAAGAAGCTCGCCTGTGACTCTTGTTTTATGTTTAGTGGCCCGCTCTAATTTGGCAGCGGCAGTTGCCTGAACCATCGCCTGAATGCTCTTTGCCCTCAGGCGATCAGCGTCTTTTGCTTCGATGTCAGGTCCACTTTCAGCATCAACTACGTCAAACAAGTGTGGGACTCGTCCAATTACCGCTTCGTAAGGACTTGCATTTCCAATTCGCATCATGGCATTTTTAACGTACACACATTCAGACAAAATTGCCTCAAAAGACGCCTTTATGCCATCGGCCATGGTTTGATCTCGCAGTAAGTGGAATTGATGCCGTAACAACGCATGATGTCTTTCAACTACATTTGCGTGAGCGTAGCGAGCCTTAGGGACGAACTTAATGTTACGATGACTCATCCAGGCGGCTGCTGCCGGCGACGCAAGTCCACCTTCCTGATCACTTACAATCGCCATTGGTGGACCAAACAGGCTCAACCAATGCTTTTGGATACACTCCAGCAGCGTGTCAGTAAGTTTGTTTGGAATCACGGTTGCCACACAAAAACGCGTACAAACGTCCACCATATGAAAAATCACCTTGTCCAAAATGAACAACAAATCAATCTGGACTTCTTCATTAAACATCGTGGGCAAATTTGTACTCATTATGGCTTTTGCTCCAGGCCTCGTCCAGTTACGACATATACCACAAGTGTCTGTTATTTGCGCTACCATTTCCAAGACCTGCGGCTCAACCCCTGCTGCTGCAAGCAATCCACGCAAACGTTGTGTGGAAGGATGGTAAAATCTCACATGTAGCTGTCTTAAAGCTCTGCGGACCACAGCTTCGTTGAGACTGCGCAGCTTTTGCAAAGCGCGACCGAGATCGAATCTCGTCCATGCTTCCTCCGACTGCGCTGGCGGGGCTTCTTCTATAGGTGGAACTGCTTCTGGCGGTGAGGAAGCTGCTGCTGCCTCGCGTTCTGCACGCGGTGCACTCGGTCCAACAGCGGCTGCTGCGTCACCTGCGATCGGAGCGTCACCTTCCCGAGAGCTTGCTGCCCGACCTGCTGCGTCAGGCGGCGCGCGGTCCGCTGCCCGTCCTGCTGCTGCCGGTGGCGCGATGTCTCGAGAAGCTGACGCTTCACGACCTGATGACCTGGATGGCCTTGCACTGCTGGATGCTACACTACATGGCTCCCCACCTAAACCACCATTAACCACCTGAACAGCTGCGTCTCGTCTACGAGCAGCCGGTGCGTGAGATTCATCTCTCGGCCTTGCACGACTTGGTCCTGGTCCGGAATCTAGCCTGGCCTCTGAAGTAGGCTCACGCGCTGCTGGAATTCTTACATCTCCACGTCGACGTTCACGACTGGCCCCTGCCGGCATGTCCCTTGAAACAGACCACTGGCACGTTTCATTAAGGCGATGTTCTTCATGTACACGAGGCTTATTTGACTGACACGCCGGACACTCCCAAACCTTGGGTTCGACATTCTTGTGCATACAGTCGTCTACACGCGTATGTGAGGGGTCCTCTTTTCTCTTGTGCCATCTACAACCAGGACAAACCATGCTTCTTGTGTCTACTGTGGGAAAGGACACAGATGACCCTAAAACCAGATCGGCGATGGCAGAAGCAAATATCCTACACATGTCGCGCGGCCACTCCTGACACACCTGGCTGGGCACACCGTTTGCCCGATCACTGATTGAAGAAACTCCTGCGCGCGCGTGAGTTCCTGCGCACTGCTTGCTTCGGAACCTGTGAACGAGCGTCTCGTGAGATGCCCACAGCTCAGTCCTCTTCCGAATTGGAAGGCGCGGCGGTTTCGGAGACTTTAAACCCACTTGGCA